TGTTTTGGGGAAAATGAGATCATTTCTTATTTTTACTTTCCAAAAAAAAGGTGGTGGTGGGTGGGGGGAGGTGTGGTTTTCCCTATCCACCCCTGCCTCAGTGAGAGTACCAGAAAGAATCTCTTGTAGGTTTGGGGGGGGGGGAGTGTGGGGGTAACGTTTTTTTGATAGGCAAATTAATATTTTTAGCACACCAATGAAGAGGTACTTTGATTAAGTTTACTGAATATAGGCCTATCACAAAAGTTGGAAAAATTATGTAGGCCTAGGCCTATACAGTATTTTCTTTCTAGTTTTGAATGATATTGGGGGTGGGGAGCTAGCAGTGGTTTGCTAGACTACAGTATATTCAAAATTGGCTTGGGGCCCGATCGTCCACACCAGTGGGGCCCGATCATCAGTCACCCAAAGTCTTTACCGCGATGAACCAAGAACGTACACGATCTAGGCCCTGTGTGCGGCTAGGCTAGCCTTGCTTGCGAGATTCCTCTCTCGACAACACAAGTATCTACACTGTGTAACAAATCAACCCACGGGGCGCATTCTTAAATTATTACAAAAATTAACTTAATGTATTTTACGTATTTGACGATAACACGAAATCACTGATTAAATTATTACGATTCAAATTATTATTAACGATACTAGGTTATCCTCTTTCGACCACCATCACATCGCATCGGCCCTCGTGTTTTAGTGGAAAAACCCAAGCTAGTGGTACCTTTAGTCTACGTCAGCGGTTCGTGTGAGCCCAGGCGCTTATGAAAACAGAGTGGAAATTCAGGGGGTGCTTATGGAAATATATAAAAATTGAGGGGTTCTTCTAGGAACTTTGAAAATCCAATGGGCGATTTTTGAATAAAAAAAATTATGTAAGGACATCCGAAAACCGAAGATTACGAATAGTTCTGGTGCAGGAAAGAGCCAGAGAGTATGGTTCGTGACAGGAATTCTGTGAGTTTCAACAGCAGGATCATTGCAGGGCTTCTTGCAAACTCACATGAAAACGTACTAAATGTGCAAATTGTCGGGAAAAGAAAAAGAGATGTAGACAAATGTAAGAATAGGAAAGTTGGAAAGATACTGTCCAGGGAGCTCTAGTCCATGATAAAATAGCCTCATTTTGAAATTGACATAAGAAAATGTGAATCCATTCCGCAGTTCAGATGCGTTTTCTATTGTTCTACCAAAACGCGTCTGAAAACACAGTTTGAATAGCACACCGTTTGGACGCTGATATTCCGTTTTGGCCTTTGCTCATCCCCTTTAACTATGGCCGATTGGATGCACCGTAAAACGCGTCCAGACGACTCTCTAAAATGAATCGTAATACGACTGACTGTGCGGCCCTATACCTAAGTACGGACTTGTTTACCTGCTAGTGATAGTCTCTTTGTGCGCCGCCTGTGTGTGCAAGAACTGACAGAAGTACGTAAACTAGGGGAGGTCCCTGGTCGATGCTAAAAAAAAATAGTCTGTTTGGTACTGGGACGTCGACATTCAGTAGGCCTACCGTGCATAGGTGAGACTTTTTTTTTTAGGTATTTCCGATGTAGTCGCAGCTGGAGTCACTGGCCACCATCAGTTTTAAGAAGCCTGATCACCATCCTGTGCAGCTGTGGTAACATCCAGCACAGCAATTAATTGCTCTCTTTGCCGTTGAAAGAGATCACGTGCTAAGAGAAGACCCATGCTCCGAAAACATTGTCCATGATCAAAGTAGATGAAATTTTGCATTATACTAAGCTAAATTATATTTACATTTTATAAAACAATGTTTATTAATTGAATTTACGTGAATTTCATGCGAAACACGTTTTTTTTATGCCGAATTTCACCGTGAATTTTGACATACAAACATGTTAAAAAGGCTAAACCATTGCCTACCCAGTTAAGGTTTTACTGACAACTCGCGATATTACTGTAATTTATTTATTTATTCAACTGAACATACACTTCTGTTTCAGTGGCACACATAAATGTGGTGCGTTCAATGTATAAAAGAGCGAAAGAAAAACAACTAAAAATAAGTAATTCTTTAAAAAAAAATGTTATACCCCGTTTGAAAATGGACAGTTCTAAATTGCCCAGTACTCTACTTGTTTATGCATGTGGTTCTGGGCCCTGCTCTCTGCATCCAAGACTAGACTTTGAGATCGCTGTAGTTTTATTTGAAAGAGCACTCTGTAGTTCGATCAGTTAAATAATAAATCAAAGTTATTGTCTTTATCTAAATTTTACTAGTCAACCAAATATACATCTCTCGATTCGGAGGACCTACAGTAGAACTTACATAAAGAAAATGTCACGTCTGCATAGTATACACAGTACGGGACATAGTAGAAAGTAGCCTCAGAAAATTGTGAGTAACCGTGCCGTGCGCGAGGATAAAAAAAGATAGGCAGACTATCTACCTAGGTCTAGATTTGATTTTATATTTAGGCCAGAATTTAACGCAGACTTACCATGGCACTTAAAGTATATTTGAAGTATGTTTGTGATTTGTAATGCGAATGTAGGCTACCCTCCTTCGCTTTTGCAAGAAAACATCAGCGCTATTTTTAGAGTCGCGACATAGTTCTATTGACAGAGCGGCATACAAAGCGAATTCCAATCGAATTCGGTTAGCGCATACTACGCCCTGGAACCTCCAGGCATGTTGTTATCATGTAATTTACAAATCTCCATATAAGCATAGAGAAAGTATAGCCACATCTACGTATAAGAAAACAATAGAAAATCATTCAAACGATCAACAAGCGTCCAAAGGATTCACTGTCGTCCAGACGCCAGCTGTAATTCAAGCTTGTAGCAAATGAATATTCATATAGCGTGGTAATTAGAATGGTTGATTTCTCAGACGCGTTCGTGATAGGATGTTGACCTAGACGCGTTTCTGCCGTCTGGGATAATTTATCAATCGCACCTTACTGTATGCCAAACACATTCTCAGGATTAGTTAGATTATTGTTTGCTAAAAAAAAATCAATCACAAGATATCTTGTTTTAAAAAATGAATAATCACTAAGGGGAACTTATTCAAGCGAGTATGTTAAGAACTATTGAATCATGTATAGATAGATTGTGCAATTCCCGTTTTTGGGAAACACATCCGAGAAAAATATATTGTAAAAGGATGGCAAAAACGTGCAGCAAGATTTATAAACAAAATTTTGATTACAAGAAAAGAAATCTGAAAGCAAGAAAAAGAGTGTTGAATATTAGGGTTAACCAATTTGAATGCAAATTTAAAGGGAAAATACAACCAGTAAAAGGAGAGATTAGATTTAGGGAGCGTCGCCAAATTATCCTACCGCGGTAAAGGAGATTTTCCTGCGGTAGCAAGGCCAACTGCGGTAATCAGCTATAGCAAGATTTACTCAATGGAGCGTGTCTTGACTACCGCGAGCTACC